ATAGCAGCTGCGAAGATAATGAATGGGGGCAGGGAGGAAGGGGCTGGGAGGCGAGGGTGTGGAGGAGGGCTGAGGCTGGGTCCAGTCGCACAGATGGCGGGCTCCTTTTTCAAGTGCATTTGTGGTGTTACCAGAGGCCAAGGTCGGGAGGGGTGGGACAGAGAGCCCGGCTCAGGGCTCTGTCAGACCAGGGCCGTGATTCCAGCTCCTCATTTCCAGCCAAGTGACCCTGGCACATCACAAACCTCTCTGGGCTGTGGCGTCCTCATCTGTGAAATGGAATCTATGAGAGTTTCAGGTGGGGGCTGTCCACACAGGGATGGCTGCAGGAGGGGGTCTCTCCTCTGTCCCCCAGCTGAACCCTGAAGGTGGTCCCCGTTGGTGCCCTCCTCCCTCTCGGGAGACTGTGTCAAATGCCACAGGGAGCTGAGTTTGGCCCTGTCCCCTGGTTGGGGAGTTCTGTGTATTTTTCGGGGGTATTGCCTGCAGAGGCCCTGGCAGGTCTGCTCACCCTGGGCTCCCCCCAGGGAGGAAGAAGGGAGATGCAAATAGCTGCCCTCTCCTCTGTCCACCCAGGGCCAGCCCAGCTCTGTCCCTGCACTGGGCCCCCAGGGAGGGCTGCTCCCACAGGAACCAGGTCACAGGGCACGGCGGGGGGCTGGGTGAGTGCCCAGGGCTGGGGGCCACCTTCTCAAGGGGCTCTTGAGTCTGACTGAAGGCCACACCCAGTCCGCTTGGGTCACTATGACCATATAGCAAACTTCACGGTGTAAACCCAGATCATCTTGCTCCTAGATGTTCTGGTTCTAGAATTCCAGAAGGGTGCTAGGGGACAGCTCATCCCTGTGTTATGACAGGGGACGGGGAGCATACCTGCAAACCCGAGATGTGGGTTAATGATTCCGAGACAGGCTCTGAGGCCAGCTGACCCTGGCTATATGCATAGCCACAGTCCGGGCCAGTTGTAGCATCAGTTATGCAGTAATGCTTCGTCACAGCTGCCCCAAGCGCCGGGCCTCATAGTTGGCATTTACCCTCACTCCCGGCCCTGGCTGGGTGGCCCATCCTTCCTGCTTCTTGGACTGACAGCTCTTCTGGGCAATCCTCATGGCAGATTTTGGATGTTCCCTGAAGGTGCCTCTTAAAGCCTCAGCTTAGAACTCACACCTTCCACCTCTGACCGTGTTCCAATGGCC